CCAAAACATTCTATGATTCTGTGAAGTATTTGCTCAGGGTAGCTGTGAACAAAGTCTCATATCTCTCTTTTTGCAGTGTTTCATCCCAGGATGAGCGAGCTAAAGACTCTCAGCCTTCCTGAGGTGTAGAAGTGCACGAAGGCCTCTGTGGCTTTTGATACACAGCAGAGACTGAGCAGGCACCTCTTGGACACAGTGTCAGGTACCCTTCTATTTACTCTTCTTGTATTGTGCCCACTGAAATGGGCTTCTGATGTGTGACTGAGGGCAACGCACCTGAAGGACAATCTAAAGCGCATTTTTTAAAAATAGTTTATTGTTTCCTGATTTGTTTTAACACATTATTTCAGCTGGTGAACAAGAGCTTTAGGGTATGTAAAACTGACATAACCTTATGGTTTTCTTACAAATAAATCTGAAAAGATAACAATGGCAGAGTGTACCATCAGCAAGTTCGCTGATGACACAGAACTGGGAGGAGTGACTGATATGCTGGAAGGCTGCGCTGCCATTCAGTGGGACCTGGACAGGCTGGAGAGTTGGGCAGAGAGGAACCTGATGAAATTCAACAAGGGCAAGTGCCGAGTGCTGCACCTGGGGAGGTCGAACCCCATGCACCAGTACAGGCTGGGGGCTGATCTGCTGGGAAGCAGCTCTGCTGAGAGGGACCTGGGAGTCCTGGTGGATGACAAGCTGACCATGAGCCAGCAATGTGCCCTTGTTGCCAAGAAGGCCAATGGTATCCTGGGGTGCATTAAGAGGAGTGTGGCCAGCAGGTCGAGGGAGGTTATCCTCCCCCTCTACTCTGCCCTGGTGAGACCCCACCTGGAGTACTGTGTCCAGTTCTTCAAGAAAGATGAGGAACTCCTAGAAAGAGCCCAGAGGAGAGCAACTAGGATGATAAAGGGACTGGAGCATCTCCCCTGCAAGGAAAGGCTGAGAGAGTTGGGCTTGTTCAGCGTGAAGAAGAGAAGCCTGAGAGGGGACCTCATCAATACATACAAATATCTTAAGGATGGAAGTCAAGAGGACGGAGCCAGACTCTTTGCAGTTGTGTCCAGCGACAGGACTAGGGGCAACGGGTACAAACTGAAGCATAAGAGGTTTCAGTTGAATATGAAGAAAAGCTTCTTTACTTTGAGGGTGACGGAGCACTGGAACAGGCTGCCCAGGGGTGTTGTGGAGTCTCCTTCTCTGGAGATATTCAAAGCCCGCCTGGATGAAGTCTTGTGTAACATGCTCTAGGAGAACCTGCTTTAGCAGGGGGGTTGGACTAGAAGATCTCCTGAGGTCCCTTCCAACCCTTGTAATTTTTATATCACTGTTTGCCTACCCAGAAAATCAGTGGTCTGTTTACATGGGACATTAGGCTGCAAGTCTTTTTCAGATCTCAGGGTTATTTAATAAGAATTCCATAAAAGAAAAAACAAAGACATTAGCGTGTCTGGACTATGGTAAAAATTAGGTGTCAAGTCCAGAAAAAACCCTCCTATTTTCAGTTTAGACCAAATACAATCAGAAAATGCACATTTTGTTGAAACTGGGAATCATTATACACCTTCACCTCTGAATTGTTTGTAAATACATCGTACCGTTACCAAGGCAGTTCTGGTAGGCACCCAAAAGATCCCAGCAGTACACAGAGTCACCATATATTTGAGTAAATATACTAAAACTCATGAGACTTGCAAGTCACCTCTGCACGTCATAAATCTTAACCATAAAAGTCTGGTTTTCGGCAACTGAGACTTAGTTTTGTATGGGAGCTGTGCATGATA